TTACGTCCTTTAACACGATTATTATTTATTAAATTAGCTTTGTGAATCATTCGTTGAACTGTGTTCTGACATGGAATTATTTAAATTAAAATATCATCTACGTACTTTGTTAATCTTCACTGCACACCTTGCTTAAAAATTTCATATGTTGACCTTGACATGACCTTGACATAACCTTGAAATGTCAAGGTTATATCAAGGTCATGTGAAGGTCTTGTGAAGGTCATGTCAAGGTTATGTCAAGGATATGTCAAGGTTATTCACTGTACACCTTGCTTAAAAATTTCATATGTTACACTCAAGGTGTCATGCACACTAGAAAATTAAAACGGCCGTCACGGTTAAATTACTTACTATTTCGGGTCCGAAAAATTAGTAAATATCCTTCAGACGTCCTAAAGTAAAGGTGAACTGCGTTCTTCTTAAGAATATCACTGTTACGTAGTAAAAAAAATCTGGATAGTTCTCGCTTCGTGATTTGTTCGATACCTCGAACGCGGCTCGAGTCCGTCCCGACCATCTGTCAAAGCCTCGTGCTGCGGGCTCTCGAACTTCGCGCCGTCACCTCTCATTGGTCAGTGTTTTCCATTAATAACTCGTAAACGAAGCCGCAGATTGCATTTTCGCACAGGAAAAAGTTACTTCAAATGACCTCAGCTACCCCTCATTTTCGGCTGTTAAAATAATTGTGGAACACCCTGTATTTATGCAGTACAATGTATATGTATATAATGCACATACAAAATGCAAATACTTGAGTGAGAAAAGCTACTTTGAATTCAGAGTTCAAATGGCTTCGAGTGCAAATGGTTGATAGAATTAGGAAATTACGATAGATCGACGTAAGAATAAATTTTGAGACCTTGGAAAATGATTATGTCACTCACGCATGGGTGACGCGCCGTGTTATGGTGCAAAAGACCGTCAAAGCTTTTCTATCCAGCAGAGCGACGCAAAACACGCTGACTGCAGAAACTGCTGGTCAAAGTCACGAGGCACGCAGCTAAGCACGTGCTGTAGCACGTTTTGTCTTCCGTTTTCTTGCTTCCATTCTGCGCTGGCTCTTACGGAATTCTTTTGAGATTCGTACGCGCGAAGTAGACTCTAACAAGTCTACTATCTTGCTGCGTATCTCGCTCTTGAAAACCGATCTGTGAATACTATGCAATTGTAGAGCGTACCGACTTCCGGGCTTTTTAAAATATATAATCACTGTGTTTCTCAATTTATTTTTTCAATTTCATAAATTATCAAATTGGAGCGACGACCATAAATTTTCCATAATCGTTAGGTCGCAAATCTTTCTAGAAGCTCCGGTAATTTATGAACTTTATTCCTCCGCGAATTATGTTCGCCGAGCGGAGAGCTGCGTTAAATTTGCATTTAATTACCGTGAAAATTAGTGTTTCGTTGGTTAATAACCCACAATGGCTGTGAATTAAAATGAATAGGGAGCTCATGCATAGGGATATCGAACGTCAAAAATAACAGCATAGTCACGCCCGTACCATAAAACCAGGCTATTGTCTTTAACTCCAGGATCCGAGTACGTCTATCGTTAAGGGTGACTTGTAAGGGGGTGGTTTACGACCGCATTATTCCGCGAGTGGGGCGGCGGATGATAATGCAACGAATTATTCGCGAATAACCTGAATTTTACTCCTTGTATTATCCGCGCACTATTTACAGCCCGTGAAATTTATAAGCTGGTCGACGACGTACAAAATCGCGTTGGACGGAGCTTTTGATAAACGAAAACACCATTACTTTCGAAAAACGATGAGCAAATCCAACGTCTTAAACTTCTTAATGTCTTTGTTGGTCTTGCTGACGCACGGAAATGCGAGTGCATAAACTTTTCCGGTTTTGATAATCTTTTCCGATTTTCGATGTCGTCGACGATTTTCCGACAGCAGTGACATATTTTTATTATACTTTTTAATGACCCAGAATAAAATCCAGGAGAACGTCGATTCATTAATGTACGTCAATGTAACGCGATACTCATGATTAGACTGCGGAATTTTATGCAAAATAAATACTTGTTGCATCTGTTACGAGAAGCAACAAGAACCAATTAGGTGGTATTATTGTTTAGTAAGCTGCGAATAATGTTTCCACGCTTTTAAACTATTTGAATGTTTTCACTGTGTCGAATGACAGCTAGACAATTTGTTTATGAATATACATATATAATACACAATACATATATACAATACAATGTACATGTATGTATATCCTAAAGGTTTGAACAAAATCTCTGAGTTACATGGCTGAACCATTGTACAACATAATAAATTATTTATTTGTATATGCAGTGCGGACAATTCCTAAATGTATTGCTCTTGAATTTAAAATCAGGTCAGATAAGAATAATATTATTTAAAAAAAAAAATACACGCCTGTTTCGTGTATAGTACAATTGCTAAAAAATCTATTGTCTAATCATGAGCATTTTACGAACTGATTTTTAAGGACACTTTAAGAACAAAGTTCAAGATATTCGGCCCAAGTTTAAATGTAAATATTGTAAAAAAGAATACAATGTTATATCACGATGTATGACAATTGAGCAGAGTTAAATGCAAGATGAAATACGTATAATATATACGTTGTCATTAGTAAATAAATATTATAAACAAATGACTATGTGATAACGAGTTATTCGTCTGTCAAGTAGGCCTGCACTTGCGGAGCATCGAAGAGCCGAGGATGACGGCGGAGACGGCAGCACCTTGTGTACAAGGGGTGCAAGGGGTGCAGAGCGTTATGGCGGGTCAGGGCACACTGCAACAGGTGCAAGATGGAAAATCCACCGGCAGTTTTTATTCCTCGACTTCGGCCATGTACGACCCGGAGTACGCCCGCATGGAGTCCTGGCTCGACGAACATCCAGATTTCGTCAACGATTACTTCCTCAGGTTACCATGAAAACACAGTATTGTCGTCGAAGCTGCGTTACATTTATAGAGAAAATATTTGAGATACTATATTTCACGTAATCGATCCTTCACAATTCATGTGAAATTCATGTGAAATAATATTTCAAGTAGGACATAAAATTTCAGTAAATTTTTGCCCCCCATTTCCGGATCGCGAGACATTTTTGGGACACCCTTTGTTTTATTAATATACCTAACTTTGTCCGAGAGTGTTTTAAAAACCGCTTTATTATGTAAAATGAAACAGTTTCGCGTTGTTTTGGCACTTCGATCGAATTCTGACGACAGCTTCCACCGTGTATCGTCCGCAAGACGTAATTTCCCCGCGATTTATGCTGGCCAGAAGATGACCAACGATGTTAACCGTGGCAAATTAGGTATTCCGTAAGGGTCGCTCGCGTCAAAGCGGAATCTGGTCTAAAATGGGAGCAGATTTCCTAGTTTAGAGGGCCGCCTTCCCTAAAGATGCGCAGCCGCAGCTATCAACAGAAGTTCGTGCGATCGCTCGCTCGCGCGGAAACGTCCAAAGCGGTCAAACTGCGAGGAACAAACGGCTCAAAGTGCACGGCCGGCACACCGGACCCAAATAGAACGTCAAATAACAACGGAGCGCGACGTTCTCTCTGTAGGGCGACAATTCGGAAAGCAAAACAGGAGACCGGGTTTCCGTAGAAATTTCAGAGAAACTTTGGAGATCGCGAAGCACTCGAACGTCAGTTGGGAGACCGGCTGCCAAGTGGGCCCAAACCGGAGACTCGTGCTAACATAACTTTTCTCAAAGAACTCGACTCACTCGATCTAGACGTTTGAAGACCATAATTGTTCAGAAAATTCGAACTTCTTGCATTTCCTTGAAGTTTCAAGTCCGTAGAATGTTGCGTCAAAGCGATATTTCGAAATTCGAACGTTTCGCGATCGAAGGTAAAGCTTTGAAAATCTTAATTTATCAGAGAGAAAAGTCTTCTTTCGTGCTCTCCTCGAAACTATATTTTTCGCGATATCTCCGGAATTATGCATTCAATTTCCTTCAAATTGATCGGAAATACAGTAAATTTTCTCTATTTGTTCCTTAGCTTTTAAACAAAAATGGACGATCTGAGGAGACACGATTATTCGAGCCTCATTTTCATAGTCGCCTATTGTCAACTATAAAATCTATAATTAATCTAAAACTGTATAATCTCCACTTCCCAAATCGTCCGTTTTTTGTTTACAAGCTGAGAGACAATTGGAGAGAATTTACGAAAAGATTCGCATTTGAAAAATCATCTAATATTTGCAAAACTGGCACTAACATGTCGACAAGTATCTAACGAGAATTTTTAGGATTTCACAGAGGGATTCTGTCAAATACATAACAAAATTTTAAAAAAATTGAAAGGTATTAAAACCTCTGCCACACAAATTGCGTTAATTTGAGTTGGTTACTTCTGCACCCAGTGGTGCACCCTCGTCTCTCGCCGAGTTAAAGTTGACTCTGTCACGTGGCATCGGCCATCAAAGTGTCAAGAAAATAGAAACAAAATTTAGATCCTTTAACACGTTCCGTGCCGAGCTTTTTTTACTCGAATCTTCACCTGTCTCTTATACACATCTAGATGTGTATAAGAGACAGACATGCAAGCGTGTACCATCGATGGTACACGCTTGCATGTCTGTCTCTTATACACATCTAGATGTGTATAAGAGACAGACATGCAAGCGTGTACCATCGATGGTACACGCTTGCATGTCTGTCTCTTATACACATCTAGATGTGTATAAGAGACAGACATGCAAGCGTGTACCATCGATGGTACACGCTTGCATGTCTGTCTCTTATACACATCTAGATGTGTATAAGAGACAGACATGCAAGCGTGTACCATCGATGGTACACGCTTGCATGTCTGTCTCTTATACACATCTAGATGTGTATAAGAGACAGACATGCAAGCGTGTACCATCGATGGTACACGCTTGCATGTCTGTCTCTTATACACATCTAGATGTGTATAAGAGACAGACATGCAAGCGTGTACCATCGATGGTACACGCTTGCATGTCTGTCTCTTATACACATCTAGATGTGTATAAGAGACAGACATGCAAGCGTGTACCATCGATGGTACACGCTTGCATGTCTGTCTCTTATACACATCTAGATGTGTATAAGAGACAGACATGCAAGCGTGTACCATCGATGGTACACGCTTGCATGTCTGTCTCTTATACACATCTAGATGTGTATAAGAGACAGACATGCAAGCGTGTACCATCGATGGTACACGCTTGCATGTCTGTCTCTTATACACATCTAGATGTGTATAAGAGACAGACATGCAAGCGTGTACCATCGATGGTACACGCTTGCATGTCTGTCTCTTATACACATCTAGATGTGTATAAGAGACAGACATGCAAGCGTGTACCATCGATGGTACACGCTTGCATGTCTGTCTCTTATACACATCTAGATGTGTATAAGAGACAGACATGCAAGCGTGTACCATCGATGGTACACGTGGCACGGAACGTGTTAATTGAGTTTTAGAGCAGTCGTATAGTTTCGAAGGGTGTCCGCATCCATTTGTCCAGCACTGTTCATCTCGTCAATCCGGGTTTTACGACCCCGGATTGGTTCGGAACATCCGCGCGAAGCATCCATCGTCAATTCGTCTGGCATCTCAGCAAAACATGTTCACCAATCGTATGCTATTACGGTATCGACAGGAAAGTCACGAGGCAAACCGTGGACATGTGGCTGGTTTCTCACGCGACGCCGACGTCCTCGTCGAGCAGTTGCGTCGAGTTGTCAAGCCCGATCCATGCGGGTGGTACATCGTCTTCCGGTCGGGGTGGTTCCGGCGGTTCGGGTGCCACGACCCCTGTCCGGAAGATCTCGGCGCACGAGTTCGAGCGTGGCGGTTTGCTGAAGCCGATCGTCAACACGATCGACGGGACGCCCACCTTCTTGAGCGTCACACCCGGGGACTCCGGCCAGCCAGGAAGTCAGCCGGTCGGCTCCGGAAACTCGAACAGACCCCAGAGACGCTCCAGGCACGAGCTGAGGCACCTCGACGAGAAGGATCTCATCTTTGAATTGGTACGATTCGTTCTTGTGTTAAATGTTCGCCGAACGCGGAGGTTAGTCACTCGTTTTGTAACGTCGTTCTCGATTCGAAAAGTAGATTGCTGTAATTGAATTAATCATAGCTGTGTGCTAATTGCTTACATTAACCCTTTGCATTCGGAAGATTTTTACGATACACCTACCAGCAGATCTGAGCAAATTTTGCAAAACTTGTGACTTTGCTACACAAAGTTGAAGTGAAATAAAGATCGTTACGGTGCTGTGAACTTTTATGGGAATTAATATGTAAAAGATAATGCGTTTTTGTTTGTGTATTTTACACGATTACCTTAAAGGGGGCATTCAGGCGAAAATCAACTGCCAGTAATTTTCCAGATGATGATTTATACGCATTAATGATTCGATTTATGCGCAGATATTTTACCAACTAATTTTGTCGACAATAGCGAAATTATATTTTTATGGAAAAATTATCGATTACTTGTTTCGGTCTCGTTTTACTGGAAGGATCATTTTTTGTCGTGAAATAATAAAATGTGATATTAACTGAAAAACCTAAAGAAGGTTTATATAATTTTGCGATACATAATATTACACGTGTTTACGATTAATAAAAACGCAATACTTGTCAAACTAATACCAAGATTACTCTATTGTCTTACATTATTTCTAATGTCTTACATTATATACTTTTTAACCAAATCAAAACAGAGTAAATAAACATAGAAGAAACTCAACGACGCTTTGCTGATTTTTTAAATGCTTCAAGCAACAATCAGATAGCTCGTCTAATTCTTTTATCCCAAATAAAAGCGTCGCATTTATGGCAGTTCTCCCCAACATCCGCCGAAGTCGCGACGGATTTGGATCGTCAATAACCTGACTTTTTCGATCAGCAGGAACAATTAGAATGTTTCATTCAGTGGCCGCGCCACGCTGTGTAATTTGCAACCGTTTCAATTACGAACGCGCCCTCGCTGATATAGTTTCCGCGCGCGGCGCGGCGCGGCCCGAGCCTTGCCGCGCGGTATAATTGATGACGATCAATTGAACCGTAGGTCAAGGACATCTGTAACGAGTTGGATGTGAGGTCCTTGTGCCACAAGATCCTGCAGAACGTGAGCACCCTGTTACACGCGGACCGGGGCTCCCTGTTCTTGGTCCAGGGCGAGAGAGGGGGCGGTTGCATGCCCTCCTCGCAGAATCACGAATCCTCTTCGGCGGTGAGTCCGTCCGGAGGCGTCGGCCTCGGGAAGACGGACAACGGGAACGCGGAGCAACGCGAAATAGGATACTCGAGGAGCAGATGCCTAGTCTCGAAGCTGTTCGACGTCTGCTCGAGATCGACCCTGCTCGAGATGGAGAAGAAGGACGAGATCAAAATTCCCTGGGGCACCGGGATCGTCGGCTACGTCGCCGAAAGCGGAGATCCTGTTAACATACCGGACGCTTACAAGGTAAGGATTCGTTGTTCTCCTCGAGATCGAGCGCTTTAACGGACAGTGGTCCGGATCTACGAAAAGGTAAACGAAAATTCAATTTTCAGCCTTCTTGGAAGTGTATGAAACTTGTTTTGTAGAATACATTTATATACAGGGTGAGTCAGAAATTAGTCCTCACGATTTTTTTTCAGCCCCTTCCGATGGTCTGACGAAAGATTCTCTTAGCGAAATTAATTAGTATCTCACCGACAAGAAATCGCAATTGTTTAGATTTTAAAAGAAATTCATTTTCGATAAAGTCTTTTTCTTTAATGTCATCCGAAGATCATCATGTAGCAGGTCGTTGAATTCGTCTCGACGTCGCCCACAATACTATGAAGTTAAAATTACCTAGTTTCGTTTAAAAATACAATGATGACCTTATTTATTTATTGAAAATCAATTTGGTTTTAAATTTAAACAATTGCAATTTCTTGTCGATTAAATACTAATTAACTTTGATAGGAAACATTTCTCTGTCGCACCATCGGAAGGGGTTGAAAAATCGTGGAAGCTAATTTGTGACTCACTCTGCATATATATTATTTTTAAAAAGTCGTTTCTATTTAATTTCTTTGAATTGATATAGACAATCTTTATTTTGCATAAAAATCCGCGGTCTTGTCATTATTATTAATATTATTATCATTATTATTATTATTAATATTTGTTTTCTGCTATTTGGAGAAAGAGTAGAAATACATTTTTTTATTCCTGTTCATGTTCGATTATAATTTTGTTTCAGCAATCATTTTTGTAAAATTATTAAAGGTGTATTACTTAGAAAACTAAATAAAATTCTCTGTTACATTCTCTTGAATAAATTCATACGAACAAGGTCATTGTACTCTAGCCGACCATACTCTATTGTCGAACATTTATAGTAGAGTAAATATATGTATGCACAGCGGCGTACAATGCCTGTTAGTGTTATGAATCTGTGCATGCAATTCACGTATCTAATTATTACATGCTTTTCGATGTATGAATGACGCAGCTGCGTGTGTCTGTGAGGAGAGATTTGATGAAGGCAGACGCGTGTAGGGTGTATCACAGACCTTGGCCATAGACAATGGTCTACGAAAGCTCTTTTGAATTTACATTCCTGCCTTTTTTCCCTCTTTTCATTCATACATCGTGGATCTCAATAGGATATAATCGCGAAGAAGAAAATTTGTCTTCTCGGACGTCAAAATTATAGCGTAATTACGTTGCAACATTTTAAGCACAGTCGTAAAATGCAACCGCATTTAGGATTGTAAAGAATTTAAATTGAAGTTCTAAACATGCGATGGAAAGAGTATATCGGCAGCACAGATTTTATCGAATTATTCACTTCTGTTACTTAATAATTTTATTTCATTTAACACAAATAAAAAAATTCTTTTCAACAAAATGAACCTCGTCGTACCGATTATTGGTTACAAATTTCAATCAACTTACTCGAATATATCACAATAAAAATTAATTTATGAAATTAAAAATTAATTTATTAATTTATGACTACTAGACTGCGGATTTTTATTCAGATCCATTTTCTTTTTACAAGCATTTTTGTTGGAACGTAATCGATGCAGCGTGTATACTGCACATCGAAAAGAGTGCTACGAATATTTATAGTTAATTGTTGCCGAGGTTATTTTATGGTAACAGCTACCATCTTTTTCATATCTCTCTTTCTCATGTCTCTCTTTAAATTCATTTATATTTGATAAATACTCTGCTACATCATTTCAAAATCTTATCAATAAGCACGAAGTTTTTTTTGCGTTCACCATCCTATTAAGTTGGATTCACATTATAAATGCATGAAGATCCACAGTCTATTGACTACAGAATAGTGTTATCCATAGTTAAGGTCGGCGCTCCGTCATTCCGAAGCAACAAAGTTGCCAGGTAGTAATTATGGCACGATAGTGCTGACTCGCGTCCAATGGTTTCGCACAAGATCGATTTGCACTCAACTATGCAATGTACACTTCTGTCGAACCGGAGTTTACCTTACACAGTAAATTCTCTCTGGGACACCACCAAAATTGTTGCATCACGTTCCAAGATCATTTTTGTATCATCAAAGTTTAGATCTCAAAAATTATTAAATTAAATTCAATAATATTATTATCTTAATAATTATAACTATATTATATTAATAATTATTAATATTAATATTAAATTTTACACGAATAAAATGCGCTTTGTCGCATAAAATGGATGTAGAAGTCGGAAAAATTATTTTAGATTCACGGTTAAAAAATAGCTTCGAAAGGTTCAAATATACAGGGTGTCCCAAAAATGTCTCGCAATCCTGAAATAGCGGGTTCCTCAGATCATTTGAAGCAACTTCTTCCTTTACAAAAATTTTCTCCGAGGCACCGTTAACGAATTATTAACAAAAAACTGTGACCAATAAGAATCGAGTACGGCTGACACGAGCCAACGCGGCCCAGCCAACCAGCGTACGAAGCCTAGTTCCGCTCATTGGCTCGGTCGCCTCGCGCCAGCCGAGCTCGGCTCTTATTGGTCACTGTTTTTCGTTAATAACTCGTCAACGGTGCCTCGGAGAAAATTTTTGTAAAGGAAGAAGTTGCTTCAGATGACCCGAGGAACCCATCACTTTCGAATTGCGAAACATTTTTGGGACACCCTGCATAGAAAAGCGAATACTGGCCAACTTTTGTTCGCAACGTTCGCAACACTTCTAAAATTGTCCATTTTTGTGCACAATCTGAGCGTCAATTGGGGAGAATTTACTGTACCTGGTGCGTATCTGCTTGGAATTTTCCCGAAGGAGAGCGGGAGCGTTGCAACATAGAATCTCGCGCGAGGAGAGCAAACGCAGTCTAGTGTCATAGGCGAATCACTTAGCATCTGATAGCGTCTCTACTTAGTGTCTGATAGCGTCTCATGGTATCTAATCTTAATGTCCGGTTCGTCGGTCTTATGTATCATATTGTATGTGAAAGTGGGCGGTGGCGCGAGTGCCCAATTATCTTCGTTGCTTGTAAGGGGAAGATGTCCTTTGTGCGCCGCGACTTCCGGCCATCGTGGAGGACACACGAGGGTGAGAGCTTGCAAGGACGGAAGCACCGGTGCGAGAGAGATAGTTTTAAGGGTAGTGGCGATCCGCCGGAGTCGCCAGGCCCGAGACAGAGGACCGTGCGACCTCGAGCACAATTACCACATTTTCGCGAGGTGTTTGTTACTTTTATAAAGGTCAGAGTCTACGAGGCTTCTCGTCACCATATGATTACCGAATGTCCGCATAATAAGCCTATTGAAGGGGCCTAATCCGTCTTGGCTATCGTTACTTTTTCTTCGCCACTATAAGTTTACAATGATTGCAGGGGTGATTTCTGAGGTCATTTAAAGTAACTTTTTCCTTAGCGAAAATGCAATCCGCGGCTTCGCTCACAAGTTATTAACGAAAAACACTGGCCAATGAGAAACGAGATCAGCTCTGACACAAGAGAGCACCCTATATTGTTTTATAAACATTCCAAGATTGAATTTATTTGAACTTTAAACGATTTCTATTATAGTACATAGTTGAAGAAAAAAGTTCATCTAAAAATTTCTCTCTCAAATTTTTCTCAAAAATCTTTGTTCTCTCTCTCTCTCTCTCTCTCTCTCAAACATTTTCATAATATCAGGAAACGTAAAAGAATAAATTAGAAACCAGTCATTTTGATTAGTTCGGTAATTCTAGTTTTAAACAATGCAGCTGACGCCCGTAGAACGTTACAGCTTATGCGTTCGAATGGTTAAAGAAGGAATCAATATTATTTCACGAGTAATTCGATCATCCTAGTCCTGTGGAAATCCCATTCCACGACAAAGCAGTATAAAAGCAATAACGTCGAATTCGAAGATAAACTTTATTTCGCTATTTCCGTTTATTTAATTGCGTTTTATAGTTCTCCGCTGCCCTCGTAAATCCGTGTGCCCGTAGACCAAAGTAATGCACTCTTCGCCCCGAATAATTGCTGATTCGAAGTTCGTTCGAAAACTATCTCCGATGGTCCAAATGTTTTCATCGATTCGCAGAATTGTCCACGATTGTTTACATACATACATCGTCGCTTTATTCTGTGTACATCAATTTGCAGAGTCACTAAAACGTTCGTTTATTTTTATAATTTACGAATATTTATGCAGGATCATTTAGAAAATTATTCTACAGTTGAAGCGCAAAACTTAAGGCTGACGTATCTACGATTAAAAGTTTGAACAAGATAAAGCTGAAACATCACTTTGTAGAGACACTAAAATGATCATTTATTTTTATAATTTACAAATATTTATGCAGGATTATTTAGAAAATTATTCTACAGTTCAAGCGCAAAACCTACGGCTGACGTATCTGCAATTAAAAGTTTGAACAAGATAAAGCTGAAACATCACTTCGCAGAGACACTAAAATGTTCATTTATTTTTATAATTTACAAATATTTATGCAGGATTATTTAGAAAATTATTCTACAGTTCAAGCGCAAAACTTAAGACTGACGTATCTACAATTAAAAGTTTGAACAAGATAAAGCTGAAACATTAATTTACAGAAACACTAAAACGTTCATTTATTTTTATAATTTACGAATATTTATGCAGGATTATTTAGAAAATTATTCTACAGTTGAAGCGCAGAATCTAAGGCTGCGTATCTACAATTAACAGTTTGAACAAGATAAAGCTGAAACATTAATTCACAGAAACACTAAAACGTTCATTTATTTTTATAATTTACAAATATTTATGCAGGATCATTTAGAAAATTATTCTACAGTTGAAGCGCAAAACTTAAGGCTGACGTATCTACGATTAAAAGTTTGAAGAAGATACAGCTGAAACACACGAAACAGATCGCGATACTGAATTGTATTACAGAAACTTAACGATCCGTTTGCCATTATCGGATCGAGATCTCGTGTTTAATTGTCCATCGAAAGTTCCGCAGCCCCGGGAGTTAAACAAAATCTGCGATTCCTTGAAGTATAATCAAACTTGGCCTAAACTTAGTTTATCGAAGGCTGCAACTTCTGGACACCGAAGTTTCTACTAAATGTACTGACAATTAATTGTCCGTCGGCGATCTAATTCAAACTTTGCAATCTGGGGATCCGGAAATAAGTATTAAGTCGACTCTAATGGATATACCTAGACACGGCGTCTTTCGATTTTTTACGATGAAATGACGTTCCTAAGTTTAGAATGGAATTACGCTCTATTTTAGATTGCAACTATTCGATGCAATGTCACGATTGCACGAAAATCCGCGGGCTATAGCTATGACGTTCTAGAATCAGCGAATAGAAAATGGTTTTTAAAAAGACTGCTTTTCGATTGCAGGACTCGAGGTTCAACCGAGAAATCGACGCATTAACAGGATACAGGACCAGGGCCCTTTTGTGCATGCCGATAAAGGACTGCAACGGGGACGTCATCGGGGTTGCACAAGTGATCAACAAGCTCGGCGGCGAAGGACAGTTCACAGCGCAGGACGAGAAGATTTTCGCTGGGTATTTGCAATTTTGCGGGATCGGGCTGAGGAATGCGCAACTGTACGAAAAAAGTCAATTAGAAGTCAAACGAAACCAGGTTCGTACGAGAAAGAGTAATAATCGTCGTTTTACCGCCGCTGTTTAACGCCGGTCAAAATGGCGGATTAAACATTTTTTATATATATAATCCACAATTATTAAAATTACCGAGATACGTTTATTATTTATTTATTCGATCAATTTTATCTCGGATAAATGTTACGTAATATCATTAAGTAACATAAATTCGTAAATTATGTAATGTTATTAAGCGGGCAACACAAAATCGTAAATTACGTAATATTATTCGGTAATATAAATTCGTAAATTACGTAATATTATTATGCAAATTTCCATATAATCGTTATTCTATAATAATAAATTAATGACGAGTATTCCAAATTTTGCTGATCAGATCGGTTCTGTAAATATTTTCAGCGATAACTAGTTCACAGATCTGCACGCAGAATTATAATTTGTCTGAAAATAAAAATTAGAAGAATGGTTTCATTTTGTAATAATTTAAACGAACGAAATTCTCGCGACGTTATTTTTTCCATTTCGTTGCAAGCGCAAGAAACTTCCACTGCCGCGGTAATACGTTGCATTGCGAGCGGAATGCAAAAAAGTTCACGGTGTAATGGATTCTTATTTATGTAAATTTCCATATAATCGTTATTCTATAATAATAATAATAATAATAATAATGATTCGATATTAATGACGAGTATTTCAAATTTTGCTGATCAGATCGGTCCTGTAAATATTTTCAGCGATAACTAGTGCACAGATCTGCACGCAGAATAATAATTTGTCTGAAAATAAAAATTAGACGAATGGTTTCATTTTCTAATAATTTAAACGAACGAAATTCTCACGACGTTATTTTTTCCATTTCGTTGCAAGCGCAAGAAACTTGCACTGCCGCGGTAATACGTTGCATTGCGAGCGGAATGCAGAGAAGTTCACGGTGTAATGGACTCTTATTTATGTAAATTTCCATATAATCGTTATTCTATAATAATAATAATAATAATAATAATAATGATTCGATATTAATGACGAGTATTTCAAATTTTGCTGATCAGATCGGTTCTGTAAATATTTTCAGCGATAACTAGTTCACAGATCTGCACGAAGAATAATAATTTGTCTGAAAATAAAAATTAGACGAATGGTTTCATTTTCTAATAATTTAAACGAACGAAATTCTCGCGACGTTATTTTTTCCATTTCGTTGTGAGCGCTAGATACTTGCACTGCCGCGGTAATACATTGCATTGCGAGCGGAATGCAAAAAAGTTCACGGTGTAATGGACTCTTCGTTCTATTAAAGTGCACACGTCGATGGTAATTATCGCGTGAAAATCACATTTGCGCGGCGATCGAAATATGTATTACAATAATTCGATCGAACTAATGTACATAACATAGCGCGCAGCTGCAGGATATATTGGCCGCAGCGAAGACGGTTAATATTGTCGTGGATCATTGACTGTGGCGCAATAATTCATCCGATTTGAACGGCTTACTAATTCACGACGGACGTTTGTTCCCTGTTACAGGTGCTTCTGGATTTAGCTAGGATGATATTCGAGGAGCAAAGCACGATAGAGCATATGGTACTGAGGATTCTAACGCACACACAGTCCCTGATTCAGTGCCAGCGAGTACAGGTAAACACGAGCGACACGCCGTGAAACAGATTCGATATTTTTAATAGACCGCGGGTGTGTACCGGACCGGATATACGTTTTATGCAGAACGCAAATCGATTACGACGCACAGCTGTGAAATATATTCGTGTTTCCAGGCTTTTACGCCTGAAGATATCATGGCAGCCATGCACGAAAATAGAAAAAAATAATACGTACGCTTTGAACATTTACAACTTCGTTTTTTTTTGTGCAGCTTAAAACGAATCTTATCGCAGCCGTATTTCTGAAGGCCTATTCTTCGAGAAAAACAATTAGAAAAAATCGTGTTTCGAGTTCCAAAGCCAGTTTGCCGTTTTCGAAGGGTACACGCGACAGATGCTTTTCAGAATAAACCGGGTAAAAAAGGACACCGTGTACACGCATAGAAAAATATAGGAGATTGATTTTATATTCTTAAAATTTGTAAAAAAAATACGGAGAACTTTATTAAAAGTATTTATAATTTCAATCGAATAACTTTCTTAATTTTGCTGAATCGAACGAAATCGTGAAAAAAGGAAATGGAATTTATTTTTTAGACCTATAGAAACAGAATTGACAAAGCGTTATGAAAAAATGGCAACATTTTGTATTGTAGCGAGTACACTCGTCAAAAACAGCTGACTGGTTAAGTTCTAGTAAATAAATAAATGCTAGTAGTAAAATGAAAAAAAATTAAAGCTTCCGCTATTAGACGAACAGTGAAAAAAAATGACGGAATTCCACGATCGTAACGTCGAGGATGTGAATTTCAGGTTCTGTTGGTGCACAAGGCGTCGAAGGGCAGTTTCTCCCGAGTGTTCGACTTCGAGGCGAACGACCTGGCCGGCGAGGATTCAGATTCTCGCACTAGGTGAATGAAGTTTGTAATTACGTCCTTATTTTTCTTCATTCGATTACCACGAACAATTGCATTCCCGCGGAAGCCTTACACACGTGTTTCGTTCTGTTTCTCGCAGTCCGTTCGAGAGCCGATTCCCTATAAATGTCGGCATCACCGGCTACGTTGCCACGACCGGCGAGGTGAGCATTGATTGACAATTTCTTCCTGTTGTACTATCTTTTCTGCTAGTCGCGGCCACTGGCTCGCCGCCGCGCCGGCTCGCTCGCCAGTCCAATGATATGCGTTCGAACTAAATTTTCTTAGACGGTGAGCATACCGAACGCCTACGATGATCCAAGATTCGACCCTTCGGTGGACGATGGTACCGGTTTCAGACATCGCACCATTCTCTGCATGCCCATCAAGAACTCGTCGGGTCAGATCATTGGCGTCATTCAACTGATCAACAAGTTCGATGACCTCGCATTCACGAAGAACGACGAGAATTTCGTCGAGGCGTTCGCCATTTTCTGCGGCATGGGCATTCACAATACGCACATGTAAGTGGAACCCGAAAGTCCCGCGGCGAACGCGGATACAAATTGATTTATTCAACGGTCGTCACTGTGATTTCCATTTTATTGCAAATTAATCATGGTCCCTTCATTCTCTACACGCGCCGTAGCTTATGGATCCAAAAGCGATCAACAAATTTTAGAAACGATCGCTTCTGGAATTATTCTTCTCTGGAATTATTCTGTCGAACTGTGTTCTTTCCAAACGAATTTGTTCTGTGAGCCTTTTTCGAATGTTTACATTTTTGTCTCTTCAACTCGTTGAGAAGAAGAGTCGCCATATTGTTGATACCGGGACGAGTTAGTTATTTAACCCTTTTAGTGCCGGCCGAAAAGAAATTTTGTAAAAAGATAATAATTACAAAATTTATATAGGACCACGCTAAGAAATACGAATTTTATTTGTCGAAAGTATTAAGGAAATAAACTTTTCTCAGAAGATAAGGAATGATCAATATGTCGAATGGATTAATATAAATGATTAAATATGTTTTTAATGTTCGTCTTTTTCTGTATGTTACGACAGGTACGAAAAGGCTGTGATAGCAATGGCCAAACAAAGCGTTACGTTAGAAGTGCTGAGTTACCACGCTTCTGCGTCGTTGGAAGATGCACAAAGATTAAGGGTTGGTCTTTCTTCTGTACTAATTGTAATATTGTTAAGGACGATACGCAGTTTAACTTAGACTCCTTAAGCATTACCAGATTATGAATTGTAAATAAAATATTATATGAGACATTGTGCCTATTTCGAAATTCCATTTTTTTTTAACGGGTTACACACATTTGAAATCTACTTTTATAATGGTGTTATATTTCAAAATACATTACTACTATTTGAAAGTATGCAGGTCATTAGCTCTATTGAAATTTCTGAAAATTTTATTGAAAAATTGTGGGACACATAATAGCCATTGTGCACTATACAGATTTAGAAGAATACTTGCCATGCACTGAAATAGTCTATGTTAAAAACACAAATTCTCTGATAAATGATAGTCATTTCAGTGGAAGAATTCAATTTCTCAATCGTTTTTCCTACATAAATTAATAACAAATATATCAGAAGTAAATTCCAGTATTAAATAATTATACAAAACAAGACTATATAATGTTCTAGAAATATTCTAGGTACACTTTCTTTAGTTTCTACATGAAATTAGGACATTTTATTAAAATGTTCCATAAACAGCTTTAAAGATATTTTATTTACATAAAAATATTTTCCAAAATTTTCTTGTTAACGTGTCAAGTTATATATAAATTTATAAAACATAGTGCTACTAAAGTATTGAAGAAAGTTATGGTACAATTCTAGAACAATAGGTTGTACATGTTATGTACATTAATTATGTACATACGTTATAGCATAATACTAAAAGTTAATTATTATGTTCATAATTTATTCATTTCAATTGCAGGGCTTAAGAGTGCCTTCCGCAGCGCATTTCCAGCTGCACGATTTCAAATTCGACGACATTTTCATGGAAGACGACGACACGCTAGCTGCGTGTCTTCGAATGTTCTTAGACCTTGACTTCGTGGAACGTTTTCACATCGATTACGACGTTCTCTGCCGTTGGCTTCTAAGCGTGAAGAAGAATTATCGGAACGTCACGTACCATAATTGGCGTCACGCGTTCAACGTCGCTCAAATGATGTTCGCGATACTAACTGTAAGCAAATTGTCAATCGAAATTGTTCCGCACGTCCAATCATCCCATTGAGAAGTAATGAGAATATATCGTTTCCTTTAGGCTACGCAGTGGTGGAAGATCTTCGGGGAGATCGAGTGTCTTGCACTAATAATTGCTTGCTTATGCCATGATCTGGATCATCGGGGCACGAATAACTCTTTCCAAATCAAGTGAGTTGAAACTTTGTGAGAATAAACTTTTTTTACTTATATTTTAATTCACTTCATCAAGCATAAATATCTAAGCATGCGATAAATTAGATAGATGAGTTCAATTATCCTGAATACTATGAAAAATTATCTTGCCAAATATATTCCAATGATGTCATAATAGCTACAAGTCGTTGTGCATCAACTTTCTTCTTGATATCTTTGAACCTACTTCTATAAGATCCACGTTAATCCTTCCATTGGATTGAATAAAAATAGTTAATAATTTACAATAATTGCAGACGTTCCCAGCAGTACATGTTTTTATGAAAAGAATTACTTAAAAGTAAATATTTATTTTCCTTCTAGAGTTCCAAAATGTTTCTTTTGCATTCTTAGCGTATTTTACACGTTTTGTACATTTCTTATTTAAAAGTTCTGTTCATTATATTTGTTTCATCAAATCCGATATTCTCTAAAAAGTATAGAAATTTTAACTGAGTAATATAAACTTACTTTTCCAGATAGAGAGAAGGAAGGAGTTTATAATTCAATCATTTAAGAGCTAGCTGCTAGAAAATAGTGCTTTTGTAACAATAATTTTAAATGGATGTTTATATTTAAATAAATGTGAAATTTGATACGAACAATCAATTAAATATGTCGTCTTCCATTAACAGTATTGGAAGATTTAAGAACTGTATCTAAATACATGTAATTTATTAAAAATTCATGATCTATCATATGAACAAATTTATTTCCCTCGTTACCAATTTCGTTACACATCAAAAGAGAAATGTTCCTGATGATTTACAGAGCATCGTCGCCCTTGGCACAGCTCTACTCGACGTCGACGATGGAGCACCATCATTTCGATCAGTGCCTGATGATCCTGAGCAGCCAGGGGAATCAAATTCTGTCGAACCTGTCGCCCGAGGAATATTCCCGCGTGGTTAAAGTTCTCGAAGAAGCAATCCTCTCCACCGACTTAGCGGTTTACTTCCGAAAGAGAGGAGCTTTCCTCAGCTTAGCACGGGGTGGCGGCTACAATTGGGCTTACAGCGACCACAGGGAACTGCTAAGAGGAATGTTAATGACTGTCTGTGATCTAGCGGCTATAACAAAACCCTGGGAGGTCGAGAAGAGGGTGGCAGAATTGGTTAGCAGCGAGTTCTTCGAGCAGGGAGACATCGAAAGGTGGACTCTAAACATTACCCCGATTGTAAGTGTTCCAAAGTTTCAAAGTTTCATTTACCCCTTTCACTCAGTGAATTCCCTCAGATTAATTACCAACGACCGGGACGTATTAATTCGTGAAGTTCCTGGCACAGTGTTAGAAATGATCACTCTTTTTAATACTAAATGTACTGCTGCGAGTCGAACGACCAGTTTTACATTTTTTATTCTACGATTATTAGAATCATAAAGCTGCTTCTTTCGTTAGAAATTTTGGTGTGCATTTCTTTGCTCAGGTATGCACTATTATGAAAACTGTGAAAAATTTAAATAAATTCAATCGTTTAATTTTTATAAGGCAACACATGTGTCACGATTGGAAGGATTACTCCATCTCTTCTAAATAGAAACAAAATTTGATTTTTCTGTTTACAAAATCGAGGAATGAAGAAACAAAAATTGTCTCGTACTATTAAGAAAATTATTAAGGACAAAAGAATACTAATTAATGTAGCTGTGAAAGAAATTCTAGTGCAAAGAGTTAAATAGAACTTGATATAAGGTTGTATTGATACGGATTATATCAAACAAAAATATTTAATGTTCAAAGCACCACAATTATGATCAGGAGACAAAGTCAGAAAAATGTTTACTGCACTTGATATTCAACTGGCGATTGGAGCTTACATCATTTCTTTGTTTCACTTTCACTTTTTTTATGGATATATACATTTTAATATTTTTTGTAACAAAGTGCTTACTTGCACAGTCATATCTCATTGAGAATATCATAAGATACCTTTGAATTTTGGTAAATAATATGATTATAGTATAGGTAGAATAAAATACTGGCGAAAGAATTCATATCAAATTGCTTAAGTTTCTATTACACGTTTCATTTAATTCTTTCAAAATCTTTTTCGTAAGAGATTAGCTTCTTAAAATTCTTATTTGATTTTTCCCTGATTCACAAAATCTGTATCTTAAATTTTCAATTTTTAATCACTAAAAATATTTTATTTCTTTTTCTCTTTATTTCTAATTTCCATTCATTTATAAGCGCAGAAATGTTAGATTGTTATCAGGTTTCCAAATTGTAATATATATTCTATCAGTAATTTAAATTCACACTGTTCAGTAATCTAAGATCCGAAGGTAACAACGTTACTCGTTTGGTATTGCAGGACATTATGAACAGAGAGAAGGAGGATCAGCTGCCGATGATGCAAGTTGGATTCATCGATTCGATCTGTCTTCCTATTTACGAGGTAATTCTCTACGATATCAACGACAGATAACAAAAGTTTAGCTAACGGAACATTTTATCACGGACAAGATATAAGAATAGACATTACATTCGATTTATTTTCCTGTCCTTAATTATCGGACTTCCTGAAGCCCTATTAATATTAATGAATTAATTCAGATCTACGTGAAAATGTTTTCTTAACAAATTTATCAACTCTTATCAGAGTTTATCAACTATCTCGTAGAGAAATAAAAGAATTCTGAGAAGTTTCCGCGAATTGATTTTAGAGCATTTTCAATGTAAATTGATGCACGACAGTATTACGTATTACTAAAGATAGTAAAAGATTGTCAATGATTGTCAAAAGTAGCCGAAGACGGTCGAAGGTAGTCCAAGATATCACAATGTAGTCCAAGGCAGCCAAATGTAGCCCAAAGTAGCCCAAGGTAGCCCAATGTAGTCCAATCTAGCTGAAGGTAGCCCAAACTAGACACGGTCAGGATACTTTCTGCTAGATTGACGACCTGATTGATGGTTCACGATTGAAATAGTTAATAAATGTATGATTTCGAACTGTATAAAATTCTTAACGATTTCTTTTGCAACCGATATCACGAAGAGCTACGTCGTCTATTTAACCATGCAATTTTTTAATAACTCAGAGCACAAAATCCTACAAAGTTTTTGTCTATTCTTATAATTTTATTTTATTACATTCACTAGTATGATCTCAATTTTTAGAAATACTTTTCACTTAAGCAAATACTCGGGTAAAATATACTTTTTGAAAACACCTTTCACTTTTCAAGAAAGGTATTTCAGTTCTCTTTTCTGTGCACACGTGATCGAAAAGCTCGAGCAACAAAGTTCTTCGCGACAGAACTTCCATTTCACTCTGTTAACCACCTGATTCGAGCCACGAATCGGGAACTAATCGTTCGGTACTCGTTCGAGCAGGCATTCGCTTTACTGTCGGACAAACTGGAGCCGTTGGTGGACGGTGTCCGGAAAAACAAGCAACACTGGCTCGAGATCGCGGAGTCCAGATGCAAGACGGACAATTGCACGAACCACGACAGGATGTCCTCGATATCGGACAATGAGGAAACCAGTGACCAGGCGGACCAATAGTCATTATCACGAGTCGCGAATACAGGCGAAGTAATGATCAACGGACGGTAGCTTCGACGCATTTACGGAGCGAATCATCGAGCCGGGAAGCCGAAGAAGCCGCGAAGCTTTGGAATTGTTAAGCGCCTACGTCTCGATATTAGGTATTAAAAGAGCATTGTGAGTTAATTTATTAATTTATATTAATCACTGGCGGAGCATTTTTGTCGGTACCAATGACGTGCGACTGCGAGCGCGATCTCGGAATCGAACCGTTCCGATGATTCTGTTCGCGAACTTCCGGGGAGCCAGCGAGCGTATTGTCCAGCCTGAAGTCGCGATTACGGCTTTCGTTCTCGCCGAGCCGGGAACAACTATATATCTTCTATTCGATCAACTCCGTTGCCGGCCTCGATCGAGAGAAATCATCCGAACGAGATTAATCCCGTGAATTTTTTCGCTCGTCACCGGGCTCGGGAGGACCCGAGCAGCCTGGAGGAAATTAGCTTAAGGCGGTCGAGGAGCTTCGTCCTCTCTTCGGAAATAAAACAGATCAACCCAGAGATGCTACTCTTGTACCTGATCGTATTGTACGTATACTTACTATGGCAGAACTTTGTGGTCGAGAGAGGACGAAGATGAACGAGGGTGTACGGGACAGATTCGACGGGAATCACACTGGTCGGTGATCAGATTTTTTACGCGAGATATCCTCCTCGCTGATTGGAGACCCGCGGCTCGCGATCAATCGAACACTTTTCATCGATATTACCTACTTCCTCGACACCGAATCGCGAAATAGTTTCGATGATATTCGATGGAATTATTCCTTGTTCTCGTGCAAAGTCAATATATATATAATTATCCAGTGTAATTATTGTTTTTTTAACGATTATCTCTAGTAGATTAATTGCTCGGTAGACCGAGCTACCAAAATGTTTTATACTTTTTTATAGCTGTGTTGTAAAAACGGTGTTCACAAAGAGATGGTTACGAGACGGTGGTAAATACGATATTTATGTACCACTGGCAAGATACTATTTGTTTGCAGGAAGGTTTTTATTGATGGAAAGGAATGTTAGTTAAATGTATTCTTACCTTCGAATATTCTTTTCGTGAAAGTCATAAACGAGTTCCGCGAAGATAAGCTCCGCGAGTTCCATGTACCTAGCAATATTCTGAGTTTGCTGAACATTTGTGAGAAAAATGTTACAGATAATTGTACATAGCATTGTAATTTTTATCGGCATACGAAATTTGTATAGTTCAGAGATAATCGCTGAATGAAAAGTTCGAATACTTCGAGGTATAAAAATCTATGTTTTTAACAGATTTTGTGTCTGTGTTCCAATTATTTTGTCGGCTAAAACGTTACAAAATTGCGTTAACGTTGCAAAAGCACATTCGTACAACAATTACATGTAAAATCAATTCGTGCGACAATTGTGTATAAAACCATGCATTCTGATAAAACTAGCTTGTCTCTGTCACTAGGCTAGTTTCTGAGGGATGGCACAGTGGCGGCAGAAGTGGACCACGAAATCAGGGTCGTACAAAATTCGATTATCGAACTTGTCGAAGCAAATGAGGGCCCAATTTTCTCAATTTCGTTTCCTGAACGAGCCGATGAATAGACTGCGAATTTTTCTGCAAAATGAACATTTTCTGTATCCGTTGCAAGAACGGATGAACGGAGATCACTTTAAAAAGATTTCTCTTTCTTTGCTAGTTATAGTAGGACAAAAGTGATCGACACTTTTCAATTGTTTTACTTTTTCTTCTCTTTAACCCTTTGCACTCGAAGCAATTTTCACTCGAAATCTAAAATAGCTTTTTAGTATCTTCATTTCGTATAACTTATTGCATTTTATGCACACGGCTCAAGCAACAATTATTACACTTCGTAATGTTTTTTTAAAATATAAACAATTTCGATAATGTTAAAATTATTTTGAAACGTGATATAACAATTTTTGATGGCGCCTCAGGGTCGCCACTCGAGTGCAAAGGATTAAAATTACAGCTACTAAATTCTCTGATAAATGCGAGAAGTCCGCAGTTTACTGACGAAGCATCGTATAGCTCGGACCGTGATTATCGTAGCTAGGACTATGAACATAATTGCCGAGTGCTATGATCATCATAGCCGGGACTCCGATCAGCGAGACAAATGATTCCCGAATAATGCGCGCAGATGCGATCGAAGGGCAAAATCGGCTCCGTCTTGGAATCGCGTTCGCACGGAAGTTCTCCCCGCGAATTAGGAACTCGTCCGACCCAATAATCGGGCTGTACATTGTAATTAGATAATGTATTCGTAAACCAAAGTGTACATTTATACATCAAGGTTAATCGTGATCTTTGTTACTCGATACGGGAATGAGTTTAATCGTCTGTTTTAACGTTCTAATTAATTAGCTGTAGAGACCAGGCGTCGTTCGCCTCGCTTTCTATTATCCTGGATGTCGCGCGATGTCGTTTAAAGCCAGATGTTCGGTTTCCTCCCCGTTGCGCCGGAGGCTGTTGTCCTAGCAAACGGAACATCGAACGAAAATACGTTTTTCTCTGCGCTCGAGTATCGATACACGCGAAAGCTTCCCGAGACCACGTTTCACGGTCGCCTGAAATCTTTGAACAAAAATACGAACATATCATCGACCTTTCATTTAACGCGTATTCCGTTTCATTTGCGCGAACATTAACAAGAGGTTAATCAGACGTTGCACAGCCGTTGTAACGTGACGCGAGAGTTGCTGCAGGGCAGTGATTGTAACAGGGAAAATTGAACAATTTACGTCGGAATGTTTCTTTTCTCTAATCGATTGTAGAGATTACATGGATTACTTAGGATTCTAGCGTAAGCATACGATTAAATTTATACGTTATCTTGACAAAAAGAATTATTTATAACGATAGAAACCCGTTTAGGCTCTCGCGCAGACGTCGTGTAAAAAATTCGACGACAGACGATTCCGACGTAAATGGCGAATTTATCCAGCTGTTAATTGTATATTTCGTTTAATCGATTCGTTTTAGAAAGTCAGCATCGTTTATGTTAAACTGCGAATCAGCGATCGTACGTGCAAAGTATTTCTCCCGAGAGATTTACATTTAAAAAGGGTTTATACTGAGTTCAGCATCGATTCGACGAGAATGTCGTCGAATCGTTTGACCGATGGTTTTTTTTTAGCGTAATCATGAAACGAACGAAAATTTCATTTCGTTTTCATCGAGACAGCCAGCTCGAATTTCATACACTTTCGAAAGAAATGTTCCGACGCTGTGATCGAACGTTGATTCACGTTGGACACGTTTCCAACGATCCTCGGAATCGTCTAACAGGTAGTGGTTAGCTAAATGCAGACATGATAGCATACTTCAGGTGTTCCGTAATTATATTTACAGACGCGTTTCCGCGTCGTACTCGCTGCCCGTGATCAGGAAGCCATATTCCTGCGTACATGAACACTGCGATGCTCCGCGGCGTCATGCATTATTGAGCGATGCTGATTCTGTTTACTCTGTAATCAACCATCGCCGAGACAATTCGCGAAAATACTGAAATCTCGTTAACCGGCTCGCTCGGAATGTATACATGATTTATGTTCGGATTGGACAACACGAGCTTCAAGATCGCTTTATTCGAAGATCGCGTCGAAATCGAATTCAACGAGCGATGTACTCATATTCGATTACGATCTACGCTATTTCACTAATTGAACAGTCGGTGGTAACAATCTGATGGTAGAATTGAAGTTCCGGATTATTGTTTTACACGTTTCACAAATTGTACAATGCGTAGAACGCAATTTTTAATTTTCTGAAAGCTGCAGATATTATAAAGAGAAAACAGCGACCCCCCGTTTAAATTCCTAAGAATTGTTCCAATCAATTGCTATTTTAAAACTAATTTAACGTCTACTTTCTCTATATTAATTCGATAGCGGTAGAGCGTATTTGATCGCGCCGAAGAAAGAATGAATTATAAATGATCGTCACTGTACGTTAATATAAAATGAGACGATCTTTCGCTGAAAATTTAAGATCGAATCTGTAATTGCCGGGGAGCTCTAAAGTTACTCTCTCCGACGTGGAACTCCGTCGGGAGAGCCACGCTCGTGTCTTGTCTCCTGGCAGACGTCGGTTTCCGAGTCCAGAAGCGTGAAAAGTTTATTTTCCGAAATCGGCACGAGTGTCGCGCAAGAGTTTCGGCGTCGCATCTTGCATGTAAAAAAGAAACTTCGAACTTTCGCAGAGACTTTTGTATAAACTCTTCTTCGTCGTATAGATTCCATGATCGAACCTCGAAAGTTTTGATCGTACTCCGCGCGAATTGATCGGTGCTTAAAGATTAGAGACGTGGTTTTGCAACGATGGAGGCAGTCAGGCGTTTCATCCGCGTGTGATCGTTTACTTGTAATAATAGTCCGTATCTTGTATATGTTCCTTTTAATCCTTCAAGTCGTTTTTCTCTTTCTCTTTCTCTTTCTCTTTCTCTTTCTCTTTCTCTTTCTCTTTCTCTTTCTCTTTCTCTTTCTCCTTCTTCTTCTTCTTCTTCCTCTACCTTTCGTCTTCATTTTTTTGTCTTTTGTAAACTTGATATTGTCTCCCGTCGATTTTCATTAATTCCACAACGGCAGGGACGGTGTAAGAAGTGTGATAAATAAAAAGTGTGCGTGCGTGCGATGTCGTTTCGGCTGAGTGTATGCGAGCAAGGAAGCGTCACTATGAATATTCTCGTGTAAATTATTGATACGTCGGAACGGAAATGTTTAGCGTGTATGCCGTTTACCGTTACGATTAGCATATAGTACGAGAGTCATATATTATACTGAACAATATCTAATATATTAAAGCGAGACTAAATTATGTGATACACACATCGTCTGTTATTCACTCTGCTTCCTCGTATCTTAATCCTCTTCCACGGGAAATGTCGTCGACCGGAGCACTAAAATGTGTGTTCGAACTTCCGCATTTTCAATAATTGGAGATACTTAAAAATATTATAATCTCGTGTATTAAGCTTCGAAACTGTTTTACTTATTTTAGTACATCGACGTCGTCGCTTAACATCGGACTTATCGCGCCAGTCAAAATGATGGGTTTCGCGTCCTTTCTTTTAAAGAGCCTTTTGCAAAAAATATGAACGAATAAATTCCTTAATTCAAGTTGACAGAATAATGGAAAGTAGCAAAATGTCTAAAAAATATATTCGATCTTGTAGTTCTTATAAAGCAACACGTGTCAAGGACTTTTAGTGCTCGGTTTTTTAATGATTGATTTCTATGTGAAATAAACTTGATAATTTACTTTTAAATAGTAAATTTAGACGAATTTGTTACGTTATATAACTACGTCGCTTTTGCATAATTTTTTAAATTCCCAACTCCTGAACATCGATTTTAAAAAGACTATTAAAAAGATTGGTGCCTTC